TCGACACCTCCGAGGTGCAATCCCATGTGGCTAGGCTCGTTCTTGAGGCCGTATGCCGCCACAACCACATTTCTAGGGAGAACCATACAATTGCTCCACACCTCTGTCAGGAAAAATGTTCATCCCGTGACCATGGCTACGTTCGGCGACCAGTTGTCACCTCGAGCGTAATCTCGCTATCACAAATCTCGAACAATTACAATCAGATTGAATGACAATTGTTTAATTACAGCTATGATAAAATCTAGATTACAATGTTGCGGGATTATCCAAAATTCCGAAGGCCCCTGTGTTATTTCATCTCCGACATATATATTATTGTATTCTATATATCACTCTACGTCGGCTGAATGTTCTACATCGAACGTCGATACATGATTCAATCAGAATGAAACTTTTTGCATTTTGTTAATATGATTCCTCCATACCGTTTGAAAAAATGTTTGGCTTCTTCACGGGAAGAAATATTCAGTAAACGTCGAATTTTTCACGAAATTTATAAAAACAAATTTTACGCAGATTTAGTCTCTCATCTACCGCAGTCAACGAAATATACACGTAGCACAAATAATTATTTCATGGCCTGAGTTGTCTCTCTCAGTTAATAATTTTCCAGCTAAAATATCTGTGCCTAATGTCAATTGTCATTCGTTTTTATTTTGTTAAGTACTTTAAATTATGTGTTTATTAATTTGTTTTTTACTTTGGTAGATACGTCCTCGCGAATGTGTGAGTTGTTTTTTGTAGCTCATTTCAAGCTTTTATGGCATGGATTTGCAGAAAGAGGTTAGGTCAGTGGATATTCGCGCACATGCAATAGCGGTTCATACGAATGGCACTAACTGTACCATTTTCCGAAAGAAGAGGATGTCATTCGTAAATAATTTCAAAAGTTGGTAAGTACAAGGTGTTCATACTCTGCATATGTATGTTTTGTATTTGTCAATGTCCTACATTAGCAAATTAGCATATTAACGTAAGGCATTTTTCGGCATTTATATGAATAGAAAATACGGACAACATATAAAAATTTTTCCCTTAGAAATCCATCGGTTCAAAGTTTTCACATATTTAAATTTCATTATTTTTAGCCTACTGTATGATTTATTTTCCGTGATAACCACTCAGACGGCAAATGTTATTATTTATGAAACGTATAATGTGTTCAGAATATAACTTTGCTGCGCACAAAGCACATGTTTTGCAGTGCAACAATACGTTTTTAAAACTTTCCAGTTATTAGAAACAGTTTTAAAAAGCCACCACTATTTATGGACAAGGACAACCTAACGGCGCGGAATTGTTTGGAATTAGCATACTTTTTCCCTTTCTTAAACTTTGCGTACTTTGTTATTTCAATGCCTGTGAATCATTAACTGGAAACTCGAACATCCCCGTCACCTCAGGGCATATCCCTAACTGATGTTAACGGAAAGTGGGAGTTGGGCTTTCTCCTTCTTAGAGACATACATTCACCGATTCTTTCAAATGTACTTTTCAACATATTGAATCAAGATTGCAAGTGGAAAATTAACAAAGTCGAGGTACATCAGCGAGGTATCCTATCACGTAATAGGAAGCCCAAGAACTCAACGAAGTCGATGGGTAGAGGGGAGTGAATAGGACCCACGCATTCCAAGTAGATCGACATTCATTGTATCAGCAACTAATGGTCATAACGAGACGAGTTTTTAAAATTTGGAATAGCTCATTGAGACATTTATAAATTCTCAATCATAATTTGAAAATAAACTGATTTCAGTAAAAAATTTTTAATTGTTTACACTTCATGTTTAACTGTCGTCAGTTATTTATTGTCAATTTTAGTCATTGACATTGTCTCTACATGTTCTTATAACGAACAATAGACAAAATAGTATTACTAAGTTATTATTGACATTAACCTTGTAGCGCGGTTAAATTAACCACTCTTGGAACTTCTACTTTATCTAATTATACGGAATTTATTCTACTGTATACGGAAGAACAAGCATTTAGAGCATTGGGAACTAAGAGGGAGCTAGATGCAACAGAATTAGATGCATTTATTTCTGTGCTATATGCCCGCGGCGCATAACAGGTAAAAGATTTAGGTGTCTCGTATTTGTGGAAAAAAATTTGGAGGCGTACATTTTTCTCAAAAACAATGTGCAGGAATGACATTCCTGAAATTATGAGATTTATACGATTTGATAAGAAGAGTGAGTGAAGCCAGTTTACGAATCAATAAATTTGCAATGAAATCTACAGTATGGGCTAATTTACAGAGGATTCAAGAAATTGTTATAAACCTGGTGCATACATTACTTTTATATAAAAAGTCGCGGGAAAAAACCATACAATAAAACTATCCACAAGTTCATATTCATTACTACAAAAAATTTGTCAAGTAAAAAACTGTAACAATTAGAAAATTACGAAAATTTGTTTAAGACGAAGGAAATATATATGCAGCAAATGTATATTTGATAATTAAATAATTTGTAAAAATGCATCTAAGTTGAATAAGATATACCTCTATATAAATAAAAGTGTAATTTTATTTAAGACTATAATTGAAATTAAACAAACGTAAATTTAGACCAAATTTTATGAAAGTTCATCATTTTATATACGTTTAGTTACAAATTTACCATTATCTCAGATAAATCACAAAAACTATTACTTCTTTCATCACCAGTCATTTTGACCGTACACGGTAGCATAGATATACACGAAGTGTCGGTAGGTTTAGTGTTAAATGATTAAACGCTCTTAATTATTGTCATAATAATTATGCATTTATTTCGGTTTGCATTATTGAATTTTATTAATTCTCATATTTTTAATATTACCGTAACTGTTACATTCTGTATAGTACAAACGTGTTCTTATAAAAAGTAAAGTGATCTCTCTTTCGTCTATGGTAAAATCTGTCCGGATTTAAATACGCATGTGAAAACGAACTAAATTACGATAATTTTGAAAAATATTGATTACTTATGTCCAATTTCAATTTTTTTAAGAAGTTCCGGTCAAATGACAGGCACCAATGTTTAATCTAAATTTTTACATTCATTGTTATTTTTTTGCTCGTCTCACTTTGTGTAAATTCTCATATTATCTGATCAATTGATTTCTCAATTTGTGTTAATATAAGATTGTTTGCAAAAGTTATATGATCAATAAGAATGTTTGCAAAAGTTATATGACAAAATAAATAACAATGAATGTACAATTTTAAATTAAATTTTGAAAACTGTCATGTGACTGGGCCTGGTAAGGATAGTGTTAATTTACTTTTAACCATGAACAAGATATATTACGATACGATATTATTGATATGATAATACGGTTGAGTCATTTCGCGATTATGATGCAATATCGTTTACAGTCATACTACGTCATGGATGAGATACCTCGCATTTGCTTATTATAACAAAAGTTGTAATAATAAAGAAACACACCCACGGCACATCTTACCAATGGTGTAGTACGAATATTGCGTCGGGGGATAACATCTTCCGTAACAATATACCAACAGTATTGTGTCGCGAATAAGCTGGTGGTGTCATCGTGCGAATGGTGTCGTGCCGCAGCATATGTCGTCCATGGTTACGAACAGAGAGGAAATTGGAGTTCAACTGAAATTAACATGCAAAAGGATCTATAACATTACAGATTTGCCCTGCTTTGACGTAATTTAGTGTATACAAGAACCTTTGTATTTAACCTTAAAATTAGGGATCTACCTGATTAGGTTGTACGCTGACATAAACAAGAGCACACTACGGAAATGTATTTAATCGTACGTTGCCTAAGAAAGAGAACTTAATCGTTTACTATATTTTTGAACGAAGATATATGTCAACTAGAGTTAAAAATAATAAAAAATGTTAAAATAATAATTTAAAATACGAAACAAAAAATATAAATAATACATTTAAAAATATTGGACATGTCTAATATGTATGTATATCTCTATACCAATAGACTAATCTATAAAGGGAAATCATCCAAAATGATTAAGTCAAAAACGTGTATTATATAAATGTAGGTTTCTGTCTTCGCAGAAATCCCAACTGCTCTTCGCCTTTTCTTTTGACTTTTGAGACCTGCCTCTTTCTTTCTTGATGTCGTCCGGCCTCGGGCCTTTCTCCGCTGTACCGAAAAGTTATTCTTTGGATGCCCCTAGAATCATTGAAGGAATCGGTTCTTCAGAAGCTATGGAATTAAGAAAACGATTGTTTCACAGGCTGACTTCATAACGATCGTTTTACTTCACGAATAAAAGAGATTCCGGGTTCAGCAGGAAACAGCATCTTCGCTCTCTACGACGCAGCGTCCTCTTTTTGGGGGAAGATGTCGTGATTCATCTTCAAGGAATGTTTTAGTTGTACAATTTTTACTGGTGCAGTAAATTTTTTAGTTTCTGTCTCTCAGCTCATCGCTTTGCAACTTCTTCTTCACCGAACTTGAGCATGTATTTTGACCTTACATAAATGCTTCCACTTCAAGACATCTAACCTCTTCAACTTTTCACGCAATTGATTTCTGGATATTTCGGTTCTTTAGAGGTATTATTTGACATATTTTATTTGTGTTTTCAAATTTTTATTTCATTTCAACAGTTGAGCATGTTCATTTTGCAATTCTATTTCTCGGAATGTTTTCCCTAGGCTTTACTTACTATGAACGTCGCAGCTTGTCTGCGATTCAATTGCTAACCGTTCAATTGAATCCTCGTTATCTTAACGGTTCTCTTGTGTAGTCTATCATTGGTATATTACCAAATAATTCATTTTCTTCTTCTAATTATTTTATCCCCCTTCATCTGCCTCTTGTTATTGTTGGTAGCGGTACTGATTGCATAGATGTCGCTCTTCTTGCTTTTGCCTTTCTTTTCAGACCAGCTGTTTTTCGATATCGTGCCGTCTTTCTTGTACAATTTCTCTTTCTCTTTTATTTTGTAATAAATTTGTTTGTTGTTCGGATACAGTATGCTTTTTCGTCTATTCGTATTTTTTGTACGATTTTGTTTGATGATTTCGGGTAAACAATGATCGCCACGGACATCCATGCTTCTTAAAAAGTTGCGGGTATAATATTTTAGGAAGAGATTGCCTGTTAAAAGAATAGTACATATTAATAATAAGCGAAAATAACATGGATCAAACGAGGAAAGCATATTGATGTCGGGAGACAAGGAATCTCGTTTTATATTAAAATTGCCTGACTGAGAGGAAACCAAATACAAATCTCGTATAGTACTTTATTATTATAGAAGATATTATTAAAGAAGATATCAGTTATTGAAGAAAAAAACTGAGCTGCATGTGGAACAGAAACTGATTCGCCTGCTTGCTCCGAAGTTTCGGGGCGCACAGGGATGTCCCTGCAAAATCATTGGGTGATAACTTGCGAGACTCGCTTTCTCAGAGATCGTCTCCTACGTATTGTGTCGTCTTTCGTTTACGAAGAAACCTACGATACGTAGCTGATTTTAACAAATTATATCGTGTTTCGCTTCATTTTAATTACAGAAATATGACGGACATGTTGATGAAAGTTTAGTAAATATTGGTAATAATATGGTAAAAGAATAATTGGTAAAAATTTATTGTTGTATTGTTGCTTCGTCGACATTCGGTCTCGGATCGAGTAATACTACCTGCCATTATTTCTGTAGTCAGTAATAAATGTTTAATAGAGAAAAGGTATATAAATAGTTGTTTTATTGTAAATCCTAGGATATCATTAAAATGCAAAATGATCCTACTGTGGCTGGCTAAATTTCGTCTGCACACACCACTCTTTCTCAACTGTTATTGCGTTTTTTGATATTACAGAAAACATTTTGTAATTATAAGAAAATCGGGATTCAAGTGTTGCGATAATGGAGATACATAAGGTATTCTAAATGTCCAAACTGAGGTCCTAGACGTGTCGAACGTAGAAAGGGACAATGCGAGTGAAAGAGAAGGAGGGACTGACAATCAACAAATATGAGCGACCTGTGATAAGCTGGACAGATCAATACAAAATTTAAATTTTCTTATTCTTGATTTGTGATGAAACTTTTACCAACGTTACTTTCATTTTTATAATGAAAATATCATCAGACACTACATTGATCGAAGCATATTTGCTAACTCATTTTAATCGGAAAGATCTCAGAATATTGATCGTAAAGCGATATTCCTTCATTCTAAACACATTATGCGTTTAAATAAATAATAAAATTTACCGTTTAAATGGTTATCACGTAAAAGTAAGCTATGCAGTAGGCTAAAATTTCTAAGCTTTATAAACACAAGATTTTTGAACCATTGGATACTGATATTAGAAACATTCTTATGTCGGCTCTATTCTCTGTTTATATGTGTACTATCTGAAAATGTCAAAAAGGTTAGGGAGAATGGTGGCCAGAAACGAGATTTAGCCGAAAAAATACCAGTCGCTGATGTGTTAATATAAATCATTAGCAGATACAAAACACACGTATGCACAGTACGAATTCTATGTACTTACCAACTTTTCAAATTCAATCCTTATGATGGGGATTGTCTTCTTTCGGAAAGTGATGCAGATGATATTCTCGATGTCGACTGTTGTGACATTTGATGTAGACGCAAATATTTACTCATCTAATCATTCTCTGCAAAATTATAACATAAAAACCTGAAGCAAACTACAGAACAGTACGCAGCTGTCGGCTATAACGATGTCGCACAAATTCAATAATGTGGTAAAAAATGCATGTAAAAAGAAAATAAAATATCGCATAAAGATTTCTATATCCGTTTTCAGATAATGCTCCAGGTATGGAAAACATTATTTTCAGTTATTTGCGGTAGACGACAGACGAGTGAATCTGCGTAAAATTTGTTTTTCCCAAGATTCGCTAGAAATTCCGAGATAAGGAGGGGATACGACGCTGATTGGAATGTTTGCAAATTCATTGGATGAGAAAGAATTGATGGAAGAAGAAGGTAAACGCTCACGTCTATTGGTTACCCTAAGATAGCAATTGACCAATTCAATTAGGCTTCAAAACACGTAAAGTCGGGAAAAATTCCAGGTGGCAACATTTTTACACAAAAGGTGGCTTTTTTATATTGAAAATTTTTTTTATTGCCATGCTTTTGAAATCTTATTAATAAAATGTGTATTATAGCATTGTTTGCCAGAAGACAAACGCTACCCCACCATCGTATACCATTCCAGAAATGGTGCTGATTGTGAGATTATAACCAATCCACTCCCATTGTCAATTCCTCCCTAAATTATGTTGTCTCTTGCTTTTCTTCGACAACAAACGAACATGCCGTTCACAGAGCCGTTGGAGAACCGTTTTCTTCATCTTCGCTAGTAAACAACTCACAGACAGTTAGTAAATATGTTACAGTTGCTAGATGATGTCTTTGATCATGTTCGGAAAGGGGAAGGTTACGAATTCAATATTTATTCTTTTTATATAAGGCCATCCATTTTTCTGCCAAGGATAGTTTAATCAAAATGATATCGTTTGCATTTTGTAAAGAACTGGAGTTTATAAAGATTTTTGTATTTTATATCTATTATTGTATTCTATATATCATTCTACGACGGATGAATGTTCTACATCGAACATCGATACATGAATCAATCAGAATGATACTTTTTACAATTTGTGAATGTGATTCCTTGACGCCGTTTGAAAAAATGTCTGGTTTCTTCACGGGAATAAATACTCAGTAAACGATGAATTTTTCACAAGGTGGGGGATTTTTTGGAATTAGCATACTTTCTCCTTTTCTTAAACCTTGCGTACTTTCTTATTTTATTGCCTGTGAATCATTAATTGAAAACTCGAACATTCCCGTCACCTCTGGGCCTGTCCCTACCTGATGTGAACGGAACGTAAGAGTTGGACTTTCTCCTTCTTAGAAACATACATTTACCAATTCATTCACATGTATTTTTCATCATATTGAATCAAGAATGCAAGTGGAAAATTAACAAAGTCGAGGTGCATCAGCGAGGTATCCTATCACGTAATAGGAAGCGCAAGAACTCGCCGAAGTCAATGGGAAGAGGGGAGTGAATTGGACCCACGCGTTCCAAGTAGATCGACATTCATTGTATCAGCAACTAATGGTCAAAATTTTTTTTTTATTTACAAGTACTTTATAATCAATTCTCGCATTGAGAATTTTGAGCAAGTTTCTCTGGCGTGGCGCATTGACATGACTAATTATTTATAATAAGTTTATTTCTAGCTGAATCTAGTTATTAGGTTTAAAGGATAATGTTTTCTTAGCTTGCGGATCTGGTCTGACGTATTAAGGAATTTTGTAATTGGGGGTTTTCGATGGTTGTTAACTCGTATGATATATCTATTACTATATTTTGTTATTTCTTCTTTGACTGTGGGTATCTTGTGGTCGCGATGTATTGCTTCGTTGATAACATACCAGGGTGCGTGTATTAGAAATCTTAGAGTTTTCGATTGGAAGCGTTGAAGTATTTCAATGTTGTAATTACTTGCTGTTCCCCATAGTTGGATTCCGTAGGTCCAGACGGGTTTTATTATGGTCTTATAGAGCGTAATTTTGCTCTACGTGCTTAAGTTAGAACGTCGGTCAATGAGCCAGTAAAATTTTTTAAGTTTAGCCTTGAGTTGCTTCGATTTGTCTATGATGTGTTGTTTCCATGTCATTCTCCTGTCCAGAGTCATGCCCAGCTATCTGACTGAATCCTTGTTAAGAATTGTTATATTATTAATGGTCACCTGAGGCCAGGTTTGTTTTCGCAGCGTGAAGATTACATGTGTGGATTTATTTTCGTTAATTTTGAAGCCCCATTTGTGGAACCACTTTTCCATAGAGTCGAGACATCATTGGAGAGTAGATGAAGCAATTACCGGGTCTGCGTGGGAAGCTAATAGCGTTGTGTCATCAGCAAATGTTGCTATTGTTATCTCTGTTGATACAGATAAATCGGCAGTGTAGATGGAAAACAGCAGGGGTCCAAGGACACTACCTTGGGGTATGCCAGCTTCTATTGGAAATGTTGTGGTTGTGGCGTATTGTCTATTAGTTAGGTAAGACTTTAGGATGTAGTAGTAGGTGTATGCTAGGGTTTTCTTTAATTTGTATAGAAGCCCTTCGTGCAATACTTTGTCGAATGCCTATTGAATGTCTAGGAATACAGTTGAGCAATATTTTTTCTTTTCTAAGTTTTGGCTGATATTATGTGTTATACGATGAATTTGCTCTATCGTAGAATGTTGTTTCCGAAAACCGAATTGATGATCTGCCAGTGTTTTTGTTAGAATTTAATCTTGGAATTAAGATTAGTAATTTGTGGAAGACACAATGTTTGTGTTGAAATAATACAATGTGATATTTATTAAACAATTATTTCAAGAGTTATAAATGTGCGTTCTGGAATGTAGACAGTTGGCGAGTTATTCACAGACTAACTGGCTTAGTGACCCATGGCCCTTAAAAAGGTTTAGAGCCCCACTCTCTATGCAGTAATGAGTGTGACCTGTCTGGGTGCCTGTGTGGCGTCACATGTGGCACAGAACCTTCTAGTAGCTTCTCGACGTGCCCATCTAGAATGTTTCATCTATATCCTCACGTTTCTTCCGGCGTTTTTTGAAAAAGCATGCACGTGCTAACTGCCGTGGTGCATCTCACGAACGCACGCTAGTGGGGATGGCGCTGGGCAACGAACGGAAGAATCCGTACGATCAATCACCTTATCTGCATGCGATTGATATCGTTGTATTCCAACAGTTTTCAAATTCTCTAAGAGTGGAACGAGTCGATTCGTTAGCATCTTCTCGAATAGTTTTGACAAAGTAGGTAGAAGACTACTTGGGCGATAGGAGCTAGTTTCGTGTATTGGTTTTCCGGGTTTAGGGATGACAGTAATCAGTGATATTTTCCAGGACTTAGGATAGTATTCCAGGCGAAGAGTTGCATTAAAAATTGATGTGATGAGTGCAATCCCTTTTATGGGAAGTTCCTTGATTGCTTTATTACATATTTGGTCATGCCCCGATGCTTTCTTGGGATTTAGGCGACGGATCAATTCTATAACTTCCACAGAAGTGAAAGGTTCAACAGGAGGAGACATTTGGAAGGAAGAGTGCAGGTATTCCGTTATTTCCGAGGCAATATTGGAAGAATGAGGTTTAAATATGTTAAATAGGTGATTAGCAAACAGGTTGGCTTTTTCTATAGGGTCACGCGCCCATCCACCTTGCGGACAGCGAATTGGAGGGATTATTTACGGGAGACGCGTGACTTTCCTGGAAACCTTCCATAGTGAGTAGTTGGTGTCAGCTGTGGGAGACAGATTGGCGAGATTTTTTGGAAACAGTCACTTTTATAGTTTTTAATGATTTTGGTTAAATTCTTAGTTATTTAGTTTGCGTTTGTAGTCAGGTGTTCTATGACTCTGCCATACTCTGCCAAAGTCTACGTTTTTCTGCGACTTTTTTTAATATGTGATGGGGTATTCATGTTTGCTGATAGAACTGTTAGTAGGTGTGGAAGAGCGGATAGCGTTTATTATGCTGGTGTTCAAGTATTCCGTGGCTGTTTCAATATTTTCATTTGTTTTTAGGGAAATTAAGGCTGATATTAAATGATTAAGGACTTCTCTAAAGAGCTGCTTGGTGTTGGTGAGTTGGTTATGAATAAAGCCATTAGGTGGATTTTCGATAATTGTTGAGCTAATTGTTGCAATAGCGGGGGAATGATCAGAAGAGAGATCAGCCGAGGAGTTGATTTGGACGTATCTTGGCGAGATATTTTTAGTTATAAAGAAGTCAAGTAAATCAGGTATTTTGTTAGTGTCAGTGGGCCAGTAAGTGGGTTCATATGTGCTGAGATAATTGAGTCTGTTGGTGTTTATGCTATTCAAGAGATTTTTGCCTCTTACTGTGACCAGTCTGCTGCCCCATTGGATATGTTTGGCGTTATAGTCTCCTCCAGCTATGAATCTACTGCACAGGGTGTCAAGGAAGTTATTAATGTCTTCTTTGGCGATGGAGTGTCTGGGAGAGCAGCATACTGCTGAAGTGGTGATTGTACCATGGCAGTTTTCTATCGCTACGTTTGTAGCTTGGAGGTAGTCCTTCTGGAATGATAGAAGCTCCTAATGCTTAATTCTGGTTTTGATAATAATTCCGGTGCCGCTGTTTATTTTCAGGTAATTTTTGTTGGTGAAGTGAGTTTCAAATATGAGCATTACGTCGATTTGCTATTGTTTTAAGAAGAGTTCTGGTTCGTATTTGTGTTGAGCTAGACCGTTGGCATTCCAAAGAGCTATGCGCCTTGGTTTTATTTTGCGTCGGGGCGTATTAATTTATTCATGATGAGTGTTAATAATGATAGTAAGTTATTCATTAGTTCTGATTGTTTCTCGATTAATTTAATAATAATCGTCATAATAATTATACATTCATTTCGGTTTGCATTATTGAATATCATTAATTTCTATATCTTTAATATTATCGTAATTGTTACATTCTTTATAGTATAAACATGTTCTTATAAAAAGTAAAATGATCTTTCTTTCGTCTCTGGTGAAAGTTGTCCGGATTTAAATACAGATTTGAAAACGAACTAAATTACAACAATTTTGAAAAATATTGATTCAAGAGTTTACTTATGTCCGATTTCAATCTTTTTAAAAAGATCCGGTCAAATGACCGGCTTCAATGTTTAATCTAAAGTTTCACATTTATTGTTATTTTTTTGCTCATCTGAATATACGTAAACTGTTACATTATCTGATAAATTGATTTCTCAATTTGTGTTAATATAAGAATGTTTGCAAAAGTTAGATGCATGAAATAAATAACAATGCACGTACCATCTTAAATTAAATTTTGAAAACGGTCATTTGACCCGGCCCGGCAAGGTTAGTGTTCATTTACTTTTAACCATGGACAAGATATATTACGAAACGATATTGTTAATATGACAATACGGTTGAGTCATTTCGCGATTATGATACAATAGCGTTCACAGTCATACTACGTCAAGGACGAGATATCTTGCATTTGATTATTATAACAGAAGTTGTAATTATAAAGAAACACGCTCACGGCACATCTTACCGATGGTGTAGTACGAATATTGCGTCGGGGGATAACATCTTCCGTAAGAATATATAAACAGTGGGATAAATTTCGGGAATAAACTGTTCGTGTCAACGTGCGAATGGTATCGTGCCGCAACATATGTCATCCATGGTTACGAACAGAGAGGAAATTGGAGTTCAACTGAAATTAACGTGCAAAAGGATCTATAACATTAAAGATCTGCCCTTCTTTGTCGTAATTTAGCGTGTACAAGAGCCTATGTACTTAAGCTTAAAGTTAAGAATCTACCCTATTTAGTTGTACGCTAACATAAACAAGAACCTGCGGGATTTCACACTACGGAAACCTATTTAATCGTACGTTGCCTAAAAAAGAGAAATTAATGGTTCGCTATATTTTTGAACGATGATATATATAAAGTAGAGTTAAAAATAGTAAAAGGTGTTAAAATAATAATTTAAAATACGAAACAAAGAACATAAATAATACATTTACAAATATTGGACATATCTAATATGTCTGTATATCTCTATACCAATAGACTATTCTATAAAGACAAACCATTCAAAATGATTCAGTCAAAGACGTGTATTATATAAATGTAGATTTCTGTCTTCGAAGAAATCCCAACTGCTCTTCGCCTTTTCGTTTGAGTTTTGAGACCTGCGTCTTTCTTTCTTGATGTCGTCCAGCCTCGGGCCTTCCTCCGCTGTACCGAAAAGTTATTCTTTGAATGCTCCTAGAATCACCGAAAGAATCGATTCTTCAGAAACTATGGAATTCAGAAAACGATTGCTTCACAGGTTGACTTCATAGCGATCGTTTTGCTTCATCTTACGAATAAAAGAGTTTCCGGGGCCAGCAGGAAACCGCACCTTCGCTCGCTATGATGGAGCGTCCTCTTTTTGGGAGAAGATGTGATTCGTCTTCAAGGAATTTTTTAGTTGTACAATTTTTACTGATGCAGTAAATTTTTTATTTTCTGTCTCTATGGCCATCATTTTGCAACATTTCCTTCACTGAACTTGAGCACGTATTTTGACCTTACATAAATGTTTCCACCTCGAGACATCTAATCTCCTCAACTTTTCACGCAATTGATTTCTGGATATTTCGGTTCTTTAGAGGTTCTATTTGACATATTTTATTCGTGCTTTCAAATTTTTATTTTCTTTCAACAGCAGAGCATGTTCATTTTGCAATTCTATTTCTCGGAAAGACTTCCCTAGGCTTTTCTCAATTTGAAAGTCGCAGCTCGTCTGCCATTCAATTGCTAGCCGTTCAATTGAATCCTCGTTGTAAGCGAATCTTAGCGGTACTCTTGTATAGTCTAGCATTGGTATATTACCAAATAATTCATTTTCTCCTCGTCTTATCTTATCCACCCTTCATCCGCTTCTTGCTATTGCTGGTAGTGATAGTAGTTGCATTCATGTCGTCCTACTTTCACTTGCCCTTCTTTTCTGACCAGCTGCTTTTCGATATCGTGCCGTCTTTCTTGTACAATTTCTCTTTCTCTTTTATTTTGTAATAAATTTGTTGGTTGTTCGGATACAGTATGCTTTTTCGTCTATTCGTATTTTTTGTACGATTTTGTTTGACGATTTCGGGTAAACAATGATCGCCACGGACATTCATGCTTCTTAAAGAGTTGCGGGTATAATATTTTAGGAAGAGATTGCCTGTTAAAAGAAATAGTACATATTAATAATAAGCGAAAGTAACATGGGTAAAACGAGGAAAACATATTGATGTCGGGAGACAAGGAATCTCGTTTTATATTAAAATTGCCTGACTGAGAGGAAACCAGATAGAAATCTCGTATAGTAATTTATTATTATACATCGAAGGTATCAGTTATTGAAGAAAAAAACTGAGCTGTATGTGGAACAGAAACGGATTCGCCTGCTTGCTCCAGAGTTTCGGGGCGCGCAGGGACGTAAAATCTTTGGGTGAAAACTTCCGAGACTCGCGTTTCAGCGATCGTTCCCTCCTTATTGTTTCGTCTTTCGCTTACTAAGAAACCTACGATACTTAGCCAATTTTTACAAATTATATCGTGTTTCGCTTCATTTTAATTACAAAAATATGACGGACATGTTGATAAAAGTTTCATAAATATTGATAATAATATGAAAGTTTTATTGTTGTATTGTTGCCAAAAAATTTATTGTTGTATTGTTGCTTCGTCGACATTCGGTCTCGGATCGAGTAATACTATCTGCCATTATTTCTGTAGTCAGTAGTAGATGTTTAATAGAGAAAAGGTATATAAATAGTTGTTTTATTGTAAATCCTAGGATATCATTAAAATGCAAAATGATCCTACTGTGGCTGGCTAAACTTCGTCTGTACACACCACTCTTTCTCAACTGTTATTGCGTTTTTTGATATTACAGAAAACATTTTGTAATTATAAGAAAATCGGGATTCAAGTGTTGCGATAATGGAGATACATAAGCTATTCTAAATGTCCAAACTGAGGTCCTAGACGTGTCGAACGTAGAAAGGGACAGTGCGAGTGAAAGAGAAGGAGGGACTGACAATCAACAAATATGAACGTCCTGTGATAAGCTGAATAGTTCAATTCAAAATTTAAATTTTCTTATTCTTGATTTGTGATGAAACTTTTACCAAAGTTACTTTCATTTTTATAATGAAAATATCATCAGACACTACATTGTTCGAAGCATATTTGCTAACTCATTTGAATAGGAAAGCGATATTCTGACATTCTGAACACATTATGTGTTTAAATAAATAATAAAATTTACCGTTTAAATGGTTATCACGTAAAAGTAAGCTATGCAGTAGGTTAAAATTTCCAAAATTTATAAACGCAAGACTTTTTAACCATTGGATACTTATATTAGAAACATTCATATGTCGCCTCTATTCTCTGTTCATGTGAGTACTATCAGAAAGTGTCGAAAAGGTTAGGAAGGATGGTGGTCAGAAACGAGATTTAACCGAAAAAATTCCAGCCGCCAATATGTTAATATAAATCATTAACAGATACAAAACACACGTATGCACAGTACGAATACTTTGTACTTACCAACTTTTCAAATTCAATCCTTATGATGGGGATTGTCTTCTTTCGGAAAGTGATGCAGATGATATTCTCGACTGTTGTGACATTTGATGTAGACGCAAACATTTACTCATCTAACTATTCTCTGCAAAATTATAACATTGGAACCTGACGCAAACTATTGAATATAACGCAACTCTAGGCGAAAACGTCGTCGCAAAAGTGTATTAAAGTAGTGAAGGATGCATATAAAAACGAAATAAATTAACGCATGAAGATATCTATATTCGCCTTCAGATGATGTATATGTGGCAAACATTGTTTTCGGTTATCTGCGGTAGACGACAGACGAGTAAATCTGCGTAAAATTTGTTTTTCCCAAGATTCGTTAGAAATTCCGAGATAAGGAGGGGATATCACGCTGATTGGAATGTTTGCAAATTCATTGGATGAGAAAGAATTGATGGAAGAAGAAGGTAAACGCTCACGTCTATTGGTTACCCTAAGGTAGCAATTGACCAATTCAACTAGCCTTAAAAACACGTAAAGTCGGGAAAACTTGCAGGTGGCAATATTTTTACACAGAAAGTCGCTATTTTATATTAAAAATGTTTTTATTTCCATGCGTTTGAAATCTTATTAATAAAATGTGTTTTATAGCATTATATGCCAGAAGACAAACGCTACCCCACCATCGTATACCATCCCAGAAATGGTGCTGATTGTGAGATTATAACCAATCCACTCCCATTGTCAATTCCTCCCTACATTATGGTGTCGTTTGTCTCTTGCTTTTCCTCGACAACGAACGAACATGTCGCTCACAGTGCCGTTGGAGAATAGTTTTTCTTCATCTTCACTAGTAAACAGCTCACAGACAGTTAGTATATGTCATAGCTGCCAGATGACGTCTTTAATCAAGATTGGAAAGGATAATGTTACCAATTTAATATTTATTCTTTTTACATAAAACCATCGATTATTCTGCCAAGTATAGTTCAATCAAAATGAAATTGTTTGCATTTTGTAAAGAACTGGAGGTTGTAAAGATTTTTGTATTTTATATATATTATTGTATTCTATATATCATTCTACGACGGATGAATGTTCCACGTCGAACATCGATACATGAATCAATCAGAATGATACTTTTTACAATTTGTTAATGTGATTCCTTGACTCCGTTTGAAAAAATGTTTGGTTTCTTCACGGGAATAAATACTCAGTAAACGATGAATTTTTCACAAGGTGGGGGATTTTTTGGAATTGGCATACTTTCTCCTTTTCTTAAACCTTGCGTACTTTCTTATTTTATTGCCTGTGAATCATTAATTGGACCCTCGAGCATCCCCGTCACCTCAGGGCCTGATATGAACGGAACGTAGGAGTTGGTCTTTCTCCTTCTTGGAGACATACATTCACCAATTCATTCACATGTCTTTTTCATCATATTGAATCAAGAATGCCAGTGGAAAATTAACAAAGTCGAGGTGCATCAACGAGGTATCCTATCACGTGATAGGAAGCGCAAGAACCTCACCGAAGTCGATGGGAAGAGGGGAGTGAATTGGTCCCACGCATTCCAAGTAGATCGACATACATTGTATCAGCAACTAATGGTCAAAACGAGACAAGTTTTTAAAATTTGGAATAGCTCATTGAGACATTTATAAATTCTCAAGCTTAATTTCAAAATAAATTGATTTCAGTACAAAAATTTTTAATTGTTTACACTTCATGTTTAACTGTCGTCAGTTGTTATTTATTGTCAATTTTAGTAATTAGCATTGTCTCTACATGTTCTTAAACGAACAATAGAAAAAATAATATTATTAAGTTATTATTGATATTAAACCTAGCAGTGCGGTCAAATTAACCGCTTTTGGAACTTCTTTTTTATCTACTTATACGGAATTTATTCTACTCTATACGGAAGAACAAGCATTTAGAGCATTGGGAACTAAGAGGGAGCTAAGTGCAACAGAACTAGATGCATTTATTTCTGTGCTATATGCCCGCAGTGCATATCAGGTAATAAATTTACATGTCTCATATTTGTGGGATAAAATTTGGAGACCTACATT